AAACAGATTTTGAGATATTACCATGAACTTTAAGCTTGTAAGGTGATTGAAACTATTGAACCTTCAGTTAGGAAATGTGTGGCGTGACAGTATGCATCATATGTACTTTAATATTGACTTGTCACTTTGTGTGGCGTAACATCGTGGTGGCTAACTTGTAACCAGTTATTACGGTTATTATTATTAGTAGCTACAATGTATAGTATTGGTTTGTAATCAATCAACTTAACTTGTTATAAAATACTGACAGTAATTTTGTCATTAATCTTCTGTGTTTGGAGTACTTCACGAAATGGGAATTTCATTGGCATCAAATTTTCAATTCTCGCCGTTTTGACTTTTCTAGAAATGTGTGCTTTAGCTTTCATTGAATAAATTGCATAATAGGCATATAATTTCTTTGAGATTTACAGATTTATTTGTCTGTGAAATTAAGTGCTGTTCGTTAATTATATACCTTTACATTATTCCATTTTGTACAAACTTCTTTGGGAAAAATAATATGTCTTCCTTTTTTAGAATTATTCTATTAATGATTTTTAATTAAGTTTAAAATTTCAAAGAAATCTGAAATTCGTACGTTTATATTCTCCCTAGATTAAAACTGCTTCATTTAAAATTTCCTAAACGTCTTTCCAAATAGACAATTATCTGAATATTTAGAAAAAGAACCAACATTTATAGGTGAAAATCAATACTTAAAGTTAATCTTTTGGAGCTAGATGAGTATGTGAATTGTTGTTATGTTATTTATTAGATTACTGAAAGCTCTAGCCATTTTGCAGCATGATAAAGCTAGCGACATCTAATTTACTAAAGTTAGAAACAATTAGAAAGTTGTTTTTTGTATAACTGCATATTTATCTCCGAAAGTTCAAGGGATTTAATCGATTGTTTTGCCAGTCTTTTTACATTTTACTTAGAAGTATTTTGTACAAAACATTTTCAGCAAAATAAAGTTTTACAAAACCACTTTCGCAAAATCTTAACACTGATTCAACTAGTTTTACAACTTCCTAAAAGAAACCAAATGTATCCAATGATACTAAAAGGAAAGCTTGTAATCAAATGTTTAGGAGCACAGTTCTGCAGAATGGAATTGTTTTACACGAGTTTCCGTAGGTCATAAAATAAGACACTGCGTTGTACTGTAACAAATTCTCACATGTTGATAATTTTATTTTGGTACACATAATTCTTTGACAGAGTTTATTATGGATGTATGTTTTAGCTTTGTTTAAAACATTTGTAGGAACGGACTTATTTTTTGAAAACAGTTTTATAAAGCATAATTGGGTAACGTTGTTCTTTTGGTGGGCAGGTTCTTGTAAATTAATTGGTCAAAATTAGCTGAAGTCCAGTTCACGTAACGATAAAAAACAATTAGTTTCTTCATGAATGTTTCTACAAGCTTTTACATTATTATAACTTGTAGGCCTAAGTTTACAAATGACGATTAAGCTGAAATACCTCTCTAATGGTATTACGACTAACGTAAAAATAAACTTACTGGTACAACTTCACGATCGAACGAGTAAGATTTTATACTCGATAACTAACACTAATCCAGATACTTCTGAAACTCAATATTTCACTAGCACTCTACCACCGGAAACGAAACTGACTGACTGATTCACTACTAGCTTACAAATTGACGAGCTTAACAGTATTTATTCATGGTCTCACTAATAGATATTTACCGAAATTACTTAATTATTCACGTCATATTTAGAACATTTTTGGCCTACTTTTATAAACTTTTACGATCTGAACGTCATATTCTCTCTAGCCAACATTTAAATTAAAGCAAACAAAATATATTTTACAACAATATTTCATTGGTCCTGGAAGCATTCGACGCAGGGGAACTGAGCCAGTTTTATTTTCCTCTCTTTCTCCCAATAAGTCATTTTCATTAATTGAAAAGTCAAAAACAAATGAATGTACATTAAAGGTCAAACAGTACACGAATAACTTCCGATAAAGGAGAGAGAGAGAGAGGCTGAGACAAAAATTAAAAACAGAATTAATTTTTCATCACATAAAACTATCGCCGCATTTCATAAGTAAGTTTAAGTGCACTTGGCACCATAAACGTTTACGAGCCAAGCGTTGCGAACACATGCCTCTCGCCCACTCACAAATATGCATCATTAATTTAATTTAAAGTCAACAGCAAACTGAATTTAAGCATACAAATTTCTAGATTATTCAATTGAGGGAATTGGTATTGGAGTGTTATCTTCCGGGATTAACATTTCACAAAATTGTTATTCATGTTAACTATGTATTTATCTAGACACACGGTAGTGTGTCGTGCGATCAAATCAACCTGCACAGGACACACTGTGTGTTATGAACAGGAGTGATAGTTTAACGATTTTTCACTTTCTCTAGCTCGGACTGTGGTAACTACCACATGTTTTCAATGGATGCGCACTACTGGACCCTTATTTCACATACCAAATTTCAAGGAAATTAATTAAGAAATACACGAGATATATAATCTCCAATTTAGATTGCATTTCTTCCTCTCTTTTTTTTTCGCATCGAAAGTACCAAAATTTATGCGATAGAAAAACATACTTAACTTTTATGGGATTCTTTTTATGTTTGGTACACTGATAAGTCTTTATAACTTACAATTAGGCGTGAGATGTGGTCTAAATAAGCCGCATGTACAAAGTTATTCAACAAAAACTGCTCAAATTTGACTACAATTTTTGCTCACGTCTACGCAAAAAATTACGTGAGCTGTTGGTCTGAAATTTTTACAACAGTTTCAACTAAGAGGAAAAGTGAACAGTTTTACTTTTTTGTAATTCGGATTAATCTAGCTCAAGTTTTCAAAAGAATCATACGGGTGGACGGTTATTATTCATTGCCAACTTTTAAGCAAAGATTTGTTAAATTTTATGAAATTCTTTTAAGTAAAAAGCGTTTAGTGTCACGTGATATTAGCTTAAGCAATTAGGGTAAATAATGATGCTTGATACGGCTGTACCGGGTGCATGCTGGTGATGACAAGAAACTTAATCTAGATCAAGGATGAATTTCACACACAAAAAGAGTAGAGGTACTCAGCTGGATGAAGTGGACCTGTTTTTAGGAAAAAAAAAGAATCTACATGTAAACATAAAAAACGACAATTTGAGTGTCAATGAATAAATGTTTTCTGACGGAACAATGGAATGCACGTGCATTCGAAAGAAGTAGCTAAAATAAGGCCCGGTACTAGTACTGCCTTAAAAATAATTTCCGGTACTCGGTACTGGTGAGTACTGGCAGAATTTCACCCCTGATCTAGATTCCATGGTGTTACTATAAAGGAAGTTATTAACACTGTTTTAGAGAGGACAAACTACCACCATATATTTTTAAAAATCTGGTTGGTTGTGTAAAGTATAGGTCTGTTCCAAGTAATATGGTTGCGATCCTAAAGCTAATGTTGGTTACTAATACTATCGAGTGTCACTTTCTTACTTGCTGTGGCTTGTTGTTGTGTATTGACAAAAAGTCATGATATCTAATGAAAAAACATATTGGGTGTAAAAAAAAAAAAGGTGTGGCCAAAAAGGATTGAGGGTGTGACTTAAAGGAATGAAATCAAAATTGGTAGCCTACACTTCATTCATTAGTTAGCTAGGACGCGTATTTTGTTTTACCCACCATCATGCCCCAAGTTGAACAAAAAACGCGGCCTATATAAATAGCGAAGACTCACTCAGTAGATCTGATCAGATTTATTGGTGCATGGTCAATTTCTTGAAGAAAAAATTAATTTACATAGGACTCCAAATAAATTATTTCTCTGGTGATGATGAGGCACTGCAATGGCCCAAACCCAGAATAAACCTACTTTTAGTTAAATATTTTGTTTGCTGGATAAATTTGTGGTAGATAATTGTGTGTATTCATTTCTTGGAACTAGAGACATTTGGTAGATAATTGAGTGTGTATTCATTTCTTGGAGCTAGAGACATTTGGTAGATAATTGAGTGTGTATTCGTTTCTTGGAGCTAGTGACATTTGGTAGATAATTGAGTGTGTATTCATTTCTTGGAGCTAGAGACATTTGGTAGATAATTGTGTGCATATTCATTTCTTGGGGCTAGAGACATTTGGTAGATAATTGTGTGTGTGTGTATTCGTTTCTTGGAGCTAGAGACATTTAGTTTTATACCAGTTACAGTTTTCTTCAGTGCTTCAAACAAGTGCTCATAAACTGTATTCCAGGTAACCTGTTAGGTTGATATGAAAAGAAATTGTCACCATTCAGAAGTTAGTATAAAATGATGGTAATTTGGCATAAGGTCCAGAAAACTCTGGACTTCTTTGTTCATCAAACTTGCACAATCTAATATAGCCTGAACCTTGGCCTAGTTGTAGAGAGAGAGAGACTACCATCTTAATACACTTTTTTTTGTGGTTTTGGGTTTACTTGTTTTATTCAGTTTTCTACCCGTGCTTGATGTCATCCATCAGATGAACCATATTTCAAGTAATACACAAATACTTTCATGCTAATTGTTATGACAGTATAAAAGTCAGTTAAAAGTTAATTCAGTCTGCATAAAGATCAAATGTTTAACCAACTTACAAGGGGAGTCCTTAAGCCACTGGTTACTTATTACATTTAAAATAAAACACTCAAAGCCAGCCCTTATCATTCCACAGGTTCATTTACTTTTCTTATAAAAACAAAACTAACTTCTTTCTTTTTTTAATTTCAGCTATTCAACAAGTGACTAAGATGTGTAGATACACATACATTATAACTGTGTTGCTGTTGGGAATATACAGTGTTTTTTTTGCATTTGAATGAAATGTTGTTATTTAAAAAATAGTTATGAAACTGTTAGTAGTTTTATTAAATTAACTCTCATTAAACAAATTGTTCAATTAATATTTTATTAAAAATATATATCACTATTGGTCAGATTAACATTTGTGATGGTAAACAAGCATCTCTTTTTGATTGCTGGTGTTGTGGTTTACAGCTCCTTCTCTTGATTGTATTGGTTGTCACCGTGGTGATTAATGTCCTTTTCATTTTGGACACCAGTCGTAAGCTTCAAGAAGAGTCATCTTATCCAGGTAGGCTGTAATTTTTTAGGTTTATGAAAATGTCTAATGTATGTTAGATCTGAAAAATAGCTATGTTTTATAAGGAACTCAAGGAAGAGCAGATATAAATGAAATTTGACATTTTTGGGAACAGTAAAACTTTTAGTTGTATTCACAGAAATTTGTACCAATCATATGTCAGCAAATATAGCTTCTAATAAATTTTGTAGGAAATATACTACCACAGAGGACACAAAAGTAAAATGATTTTTTTTACTCTGTTCAAAGGGAATTTGGTATGTGCTTGTAACACACAGACAGATGAAATAGTACTTTTTCTTCATTTATGAGATTTAGGACAAATATATCTATGGAAAGTTAAATCAGATATTCTTATAAGTTACTTTGTCACCAGAGACTGCTACAGTTAAAATGTTTTCAATTACCAAACTTCTGTATATGTGTGTTATACTTAATGCAAACATAAATCTATTGTGGTGTGTTTTGTGACAAACAGTAAGTATGTGAAGCTTCAAATTCTGTATATATACTTGTTCATGAAAGATATAGAAGTAATCAAATGGGAGAAATTTACAATACAAAAAAGCTAAGTGAACATACGGTTTTGATTAGTGTAGATGGAAATATACATTAAGACTATTCAGTTAAAACTCTTTAATGACAATTTTAAAGGATCAAACATTCCAAAAAAACTTTTGCAAAAAGAGAAAATCTAGTAAAAAATTTTTTTCTACATATAAAACCAGACTTGAAATGAATATTTAGCTTATGCACATGTCATATTTATGGAGAGCAGATGCATAAGTGGATTAAAATTGTGCATTTGAGCATGAAAGTTTCAATAAAGTTCAATTACCTAAATTACGAGTAAAAGTTCAGTAGCTGTTTGCTGATTGTTTAATCTAGGCTTCAATTGAAGGATTAGAAGCATCCCCTTCACCTCTAGCATTGTCTTGTTTTCAGCTTTACCAATTACGTTGAACATACTGGGGAGGTTGGGACCACATCACATTCACTTAATGCATGCTGAACAACGCTTTAACTATCCTTGAACCTAGGTTTAGACTTTAGAGTGCTCCTTTAAACAATCTTCCAGTCTTCTAACAGTCTATATGACGTAAATGCCCCTACACGTTGGGCAGCAGAATTCATAAATAATATGTGACTGTTGAGACAACTAGACAAATTCTGAATTCCCAATAACAGTCAGAACATAAATTGATGGTGAACTTTGGATAGACTCTGTTGATTATGGTGTATAATATCTTCTTCAAGATTCTTGAGTGTGATCCTGTGTACAGGAGAGAGATAATTGTCTGTAGATTCAGAACGTAATAGTTCAGTGACATGGGTAGATGTACTTGTTGAATGGTTTTCTTGATATACTATCAAGAAAACCATTCAACAAGTACATTCAATAAAGTAGTTCAGAAAGGAGTTAAGTTTTAAAACAGATTTTAGTCTGAGTAACTCTAGCTGTAAAAGTTCCAGGGAACTGGTGATACTGTGTGCATGAGACATAAGACATTTCACAAGGTTTTCTTTGAAATGAAGTGAACAAAACTGTTAAAGTGAGTGTATAGTCTGGTGTAGGTGGGTTTCTGATAACAAACAACATCAAAATGTCCTTGTTTGTTGAAAACGTGTATCAAGAAAGTAGAGCTGGGCACTGCTGGCATTCACAGTTGAACTTAATGTTAACTTGTTTATAATTCAAATATTTTACAAATTTCACTAATTATTGCCATTTTTGAATATTATCAATGTATCACCAACATAATGATTGTGAATAAGCAGTTTGAACTCAATAGGACAATACCTCAGCTAACTGTTCTTGGGAAAGTACATGCAAATATTAGCCATTACAGGTGCTAAACTAGATTTCATGCTGATTCCATCAATCTGTTCATAAAATTTACCACTGAATTGAAAAACACAGTTTGCATGGTAAATTTTATCATTTGTCTGAAAGATTGTCTACAAAGGTTAATAGTCTTATCTAGGGGAAGGTTAGTGAACAGAGATTCAATGTCTAGACTGGCTAAAGAAACTTCTTTTCCAAACCTCAAATTTCTAACATTATCAGAAAAATCAAAGCTATGTTTCACTGTATAAATATTAAAAGTAAAATCAGATAAAACAAACATAAGAATTTGTAATTACAACAACCTATGATGGAAACAATAGGTCTAATAAGGCAATCAGATTTGTGAATCTTTGGTAGTCTGTAAAGTCTGCCAACTGATCTAATGTTGTTATAAGTATTATTGTCCAGGGCTTAGTTTTCTTCAAATATAGAGGAATTTAATCAGTTTGTTTTCTTTCGAAGCAGCTGGGTCTTTTGATAATTTAGAAAGCTTTGTAGTATTACTAATTGCTTGTGTAACTTCGTCAATGTAATTTTCTTTATCCAAAATAATTGTGCCATTTCCTTTGTCTGGTTTAATAATGACAATATTACTGTTGGGTTGTAGAGTGTCTAGGATTATCAGTTCTATGTTTCTGATGTTAAAACGTTTGTGCCCAAAATTATAGGAATGTAACCACAAGTGTGATGCTGCTGATATGTGATCTAACATTATTAAAGGTTTTGTTGCAAGATGGGTAAACATCACAAGATTGAGTTTTTTGTTGTTTTTTTACAAGGGTTCAAAAGGAGCCAGATAATCATATCTAAGTTCTACTGGTACTACAGAATATCTCAAGCCACATGATAAAACTATTTTCTCTACTTCCCCTAGAGTATAGCTAGATAAGTTATGAATAACTTTATTTGGGGAACCCAAGAAATTTTCTCCGTTTTAAAGCATTTATAAAGATAAGTTATGAATAACTTTATTTGGGGAACCCAAGAAATTTTCTATGTTTTAAAGCATTTATAAAGATAAGTTATGAATAACTTTATTTGGGGAACCCAAGAAATTTTCTCCGTTTTAAAGCATTTATAAAGATTGCAGTCTCTTCAGATGATTTAAACAGTATTTCTTAAGTTCATTACCGTGAAAACACTCAACAATGTAATCCAAATAAATAGAACCGATTGGGCTGATGATATTTTTGATCTTGTAAATCCAGGAAATTTTTAAGTAAAGCTTTTTTGACTTGTACCTTAGATCTAATTTTAGGTTCCATTTTTGTCAGTTTATCAATATTGTTTGTCTTTCTTGTGAGAGGTATTAGCAGTCTTAAAATTAAGAAACATTTGATTTAGTCAAATATTTGGTATTCTCTTAGAAAAGAAAGATGGAATCAGTATTTATGTAATTTAATATACCTTTTTTTATTTAAACTTAAGAAACAGTTTGAAAAAGTATACACCATATCTGTCATTTAGGACAGTAAGTACCAATTTATGTTCAGGAAATTTAAATATAATTAATGCTTTGAAAACAAGAAACACAATTGTCCACATCCATATAAAACAGTGCCCTATTACAACAGTAGCTAATAATGTCAAGGTTAAAATACATTGAGACAGTTGTAACTATAGATAAACATTCTAGGAAAAAAAAAGGGTCAAATTAAAAACTTCCCAAAAAACAACTCCCAGCCTACAGTGTCAGAGACTACATAATTTCCTGAGTTAAATGACAATCAAGTTGCATGTTAAACCACATTTAGACATTAATATATAGACCAGAGGCATTGCTAGGTACTTAAAAGATTTAAGGCTTGGGTCTATAGGTGCGAGAATGTTTGGCACTTCAATAGGAGATCGACCATGGTCTCTGTTCTGATTTTTCTAGATACCAACTGGGAATTTGGGGCACGGGCCCCATGTGCCAGTGCTTAGCGACACCTCTGAATATATACCAATCTCATCTATATTAAAGTAATGGCAAAAACAAGTAAAGTTATAAAGGTAAAGAAGAAAAAAAAAATGCAAAGTTCGAATGATCTTATTACTAAATTATCATCTTACTAGATTTCACAAATAAAATCAATGTAACCTGTAGATTAACAGCTTTTGATCAGATCAAATTTACAACTAGTTAAAGAAAAACCATTAGAACATAATCGAGTAAAAATTCAAATAAACAAAACAGCTACTTTACAACTTTCAAATAACATATAATTTACACAGACTTTCGGCCAGTTAACTAGCCATCCTCAAGTGCAGAAGCCAAAGCTACACAGTTGAGCATGAAAATCAAATAAAGTTCAATTGCCTAAACTGCAAGTAAAAGTGTAGTAACATTGTTAGGCATGCATTAAGTGAATGTGACGTGGTCTCAATCCCTAACATGTTCAAAGAAATCGGTAAAGCCAAAAACGAAAGTATGATACGGATGGAGAAGAAGACATTTCTAATTCTTCAAATGAAGCCTAGATTAAACAATCAGTAAACAGCAATTGAACTTTTTTCTTGCAGTTATGGTAATTAAGTGGATTAAATGTTTTGATGAAATTTGTCAAGACCTTGAAGTAATTTAGGGAAATAATGAGGAAATTAACTGTTATTTTTCACAAATCTCTTAACTGTAGGAAAATAGTTGATAATTAAGAACCATCAGTGTGATCCCTGTGTATGAAATGAAATGGTTGAGAGATGATTCAAGAAATTATTTGACTGCTGTTTTAGCAATTTGTTGGAATATTGAGTCGGAGATTATTTTGGAAAGCTGGTATTTGATAAAATATATTTAACATAATGTTAGAAAATGGCTTTATTATATTACAAACGTATTAGAATGATTTTTGATAAGGCTTTTGCTTGTTTGTTCAATATTACTTATTATTAGGAATTTGTAGAGAATATCTTCCTACAAATATATACACACACACACACGTACACACAAATGTATGTTAAAACTGTAGTTGAAATTCTATGTTTAATCTGCTTCTCTTTATAGATATCCTAGAAGAAGAAGATTATATAGTGTTAGTTAAGGTTATACATTTTAAGGAAAAAATCGAGATAGTTGTTATGCAAGATTAAAATTTTAAGAGGATTAAAATTTCAAATCATCCATTTTGACATTGCTAAGACCAAGAACTGTTTATCTTATAATAATAAATGAATCTACTTAAGTTTAATTCTTTGTAAAACAGATAATCCAGAAGGAATATCTGTTACTGAGAAAAGGCACAAGAGTCTGCGGCTTCAAGAAAGTTTACCAAAGACGCTAATGATAGAAGTGTTGTCAAGCCAGTCAAAAGTTTCAGTGTCTGTAGATGGTACCACAGTAAGTTATTTATAAATACAAATGTATGTATATATATACATACACACACACATTTAAATTCTGTTGTTATTATTATTATAATGAATATTACAGTATGATATGTTCATAATTATATACAATTTTTGTGGCTTACAGTTAGGCATAACATGTAACTTTCTATCATAGCTATCTTGTATGATTAAACAAATTATGCTAAAATTATTGACTTGAAGTTTTTCAAAGCTTTAAAATAATGTAAAGTAACTTAGAATAAAACTGTAAAAACTTTTCTAAAATTATTGATGTCAGGAAAATTAATGTTCCAACTTACTTTGCCTTTGTATGATATCATTTGTATGAGGATTTTATGTATACACGTGTGTATTCACACAAAACACTAACCCTTAATTGATGATCACAGAGCATGTTTCAAAGTACAGATATCTGTTAATGAAGTCAGCTCAGTACAGGTTGACTGGAAGACAAAACATTTTTATATTCCCAGCCTGAGAATATTAGTTCACTTCAGAAGATATTTCAGGAATAACTCTACCACTGATTAAGAATGTTAAGTAGCTGAAGAGCAAATATGAAACTGTGGAGACACTACCAGAACTGAAGTGGCATAATAATTACCCAAGCATCATGTCAATCTTTTCTATATTTATTTTACCTAGATTCTAATTTTGTTTTTTTACTGTTTAACTTATGTACATGTCTATTATAATGCCCCCCTCCTCTTCCTCTCTAATATGGTGAGTTAACCCTGTAATCTTTCCTACCTATTTATCTTTGGAGTAATTTTTTTTTTGTTTCTATAATAAACTTGTGTAAACATATATATATGTACAAGTACAGATATCATCATACCTGTGAATATATATCATTTATATAATGTGAGAGAGAGGATATTTTTATATGTTGTACAAAAATGTAGTCAAAAATAAATTGATAAGAAGGATAACAATAACATAAAGCTATTTGTCTACTTCATACATGGTATCCTTCATAGCGTGGTAAGGTTGTAGTGATTGCATATCAGTTTTCGTTATGGTTAGTAGGCTACTAACTATGACAATCTTTATGTACCTGCTGGATTACCTTTTTGTACAACTTTTTAAAATTTCCCCTCTCTGAAAATGAGCATTTCAAATTTTTATATATATATACAGTATTGAAAATAATTATGAAAATACACAAGTGATACACGTAAGGGACTCACAAATCATGAGTATCATTAGTATTATAGGTTATTACAGAAAGTACAAAATATATTTCAATGATTTGTACAATGCACTAGTATTTTCAGTTCGCTTTACACAGAGCAACGTACCTTGTTTTTATATTTCTATAAGTTTATAAATTTTTTATTGTGAAATATTACTCCAAAGATCTTGTATTATTCCCTAGAATTCGGTCAAGTTGTTCAGTTGCCATTTGAACTTCTCAGTTTCCATAAAGTCTTAATAATATTTAATATTGGGACTTTGTGCAGGCCAAACTATGTTTGTGAGCGTTTCATTGGTCTCTTTTCTTCCAGGTATCATTTCACCCCATTTTTGGATGTTTTGTTGGAAAATGAATTCTGCCCACAAAGTCTCTTTCTTGAGGGAATAACATTGTGGATAAAAATCTGTTTTGACTGTCAGTAGTCAAGGAGGCATCAATTTTGTGTAGTTCTTCAACACCACTGGCTGAGATGCATCCCATACCTGAATTATGCCCCCCCCACCTCATATACTTCAGGCCAGGTGGTTAGGAGGCTCGCCTCGCAATCTGCAGGTCGTGGGTTCGAATCCCCCCTCCCACCAAACATGCTTACCCTTTCAGCTGTGGGGGTGTTATAATGTGATGGTCAATCCCACTATTCATTGGTAAAAGAGTA